AGTGAAAATCAATCAAAAGTCAAATGATAATTTAAAGTTTACAAAAATTCATTTTTTCACTTAGGAAACAAAATTCGAACTCGTAATTGTTTTTCCTTTTTCGCCGATATTGGTTTACATGTTTTTCATTTTATCAGATTGAAGATATTAAATATTTTACTCAATTATCATTCAACTATTTAAGCTGTTATCAGACTAGTAAATGGATTCAATGGTAATGATGATAAAGTAATAATGATTTGATAAAATGATGGTTGAGCCAAAAAAGTATGAGTGTTGAAAGGTTCTGGTTTTATCCATTTTCATTGTTGAAGTAAGCTCGTTAAGTGGCTTCAATTTCAAATTCAGATCACACAGGCAAAGTGTATATAACATATGATATTCATAGAAAGCCTCAGGTAATTCAGTGGTAATTCAAGAATAGAAAAGCATTATTAGAAATGAGTCGAATGAAAAGAAAGAGACACGAAAATATTTATATTGATTCTTATCTCATTCTTTAACCATTTATTCATTTTCTCTGATAATCTCTTTTCATCTCTGGACTATTCTGAAAATGGATATTCCCAATGAGAATTGGCGAAGAGAAGAGCAAAGAAGGGAAAAAGTGAACAGAAATGATGATTATCAAGAGGGGCGATTGACCACAAGGCAGAAGGCTGTTAAGATGAAAGATGAGAAGTAAAGTTCGGTGAACACGAAACTTGCAAAGTAAACGCAATTTTCATGAAAAACATTTCAATCGCTCTCTACCTTTCAATATCCTAGAGGCAAAGCAATAACTTTAGTCTCTAGTCAACAGATACAAATGATTGTAACCATTGACAGATTACAAGTTTTTTTTCACTCTCTTTGTTTATATCATTTACAGTTTATCCATTTGTTTACTTTTGACCAACAACAATTGTTAATTTCATTAACTGTTATCATTTGTATCAATGTTGTTGTCCTCGAGTTGGGAAGCGTTGAAACTGCACATTCAATAAAAGCAAACAGCAAATTATTGCTTTCTCAAGTTTCGCTCATAACTTAGAGTGACAATCAAATTGTTGAACAAGATGAAGATGAAAGCTGCTTAACGTTTTTTTTGAGACTCAAAATTTAATATAAAGGGATTAAAGGAACCCTTAAACAGCACAAAAGAAACTCTTTACTGGGTTAACAGTTTTTCCTTGTTTATTATTTTCTGCTCAAGAGAAGTCCAAAGATGAAGGCACAAAATGATGCTGACAAACTATGAAAATAATAGCAAAAGGAATTAGTTGAAACTTGAATGTCTCGGAAAAATTGCAAGGTAAAAACAATTGCAAACGAAAGCAATTGAGAAGCTTTTGCAGCTTACATTTGCGAAGTTAAATCATCCATTTCAATGAATAATTTCATAATTTGTTAATGTTTTTGGTAAACTTTTTTCTTTCGCTATAAAAAGGTAACAAAGAGCGTTTAAACATCTAAATTGAAGAGACTAGTCATTAAGATGGTTCAATGAGATGATTACATTTTAATCTTAACTTATTCATTGAGTCGATGTTGATTTATCATTTGAAATTATCTTTAAAGCTTCTCATCAAATAATCATTGACCAATGTGATGAGCTTTATCATTTAAAGGATGAAGGATTAAAGGACAAGGTTCAGTTTCATAAGAGGCTCTTGAGTGAACCAGATAAACCGTAAAAGGAATGGCAAAAGGAACCAAAGTGATATTAAAGAGATTATCATTGGTAAAGTCAAAGATGAAGGAATCCCAAAAAAGAGGAGAAAAGATGATGATGATGAGTAGGTAAAGTCAAAGTTACCCGAAGCGAAAAGATTATCAAAACTACCTCAACTAATCTTACTTTTTTTCTTACCTTTACCTTTTTTTATTACCAAAATGTTTGCAACATAATTTTACTCAAGAGACTATAAATCCAAGATTTTCACTCGAAATGTTTTCTTAACTTTTTTTTCTTCAAGTGACACCTTTTCTTCCCTCATCCTTCCCTCATGTTTCACTTTTTATTATTCCTTCTTTTTTACCATGTTGGGTGAAATTGATTTCAAGTTTACCTTTTCAACTCATGATCAAGGTTCTTTGCTTAACTTTAAAATGATTAAATGGGAAAATAATTGGATAAACTTTGCAATGAATCAAACGATGAAAAATAAATTGAACAATAATTTAGCAAAGGTAAGTTAATCGTAATGTTTGATGATAAAGATAAATCTCTCTTGAATTTGAAGCGTGAAAAATGTTCAATCTCAATGTTGGCCCTTCTTTGCTGTGCTTTTGTTATGATAGTTTGATTATATTAATGGTTAGTCCTTTGTTAACAATCAAGCTGTTTGGATCAAAGTTATGACCTTAAATGGGTCAATCGAATGGGCTTAAGTGAAGAATGGGAAAAAAATGTTTTCTTCTCTTGTTGTTTGAAAAGCCAAAGGTTCCAATAATAATTATGAATTAAATTGTCAAAACTTTTGCTTTCGGGTCAAATGTTAAGGTAAACTTGGGTTGTTATTAAAGCCTTTGTTCAGTTTATTTCATCAGTAAATTTGAATAAAGGATAACTTCAATTGTTGAAATTAACCGTTAAAGTTGAGTGGGTTTACTGGCAATGTTATTATTGCTTGTTTGTTGCATTCAAACTTTATATTGCAAATTATTATTGGTTGATGAGAAAAGATTTGAATGTAAAAGTGAAAATTGATTAAATTTTGCAATTTAAATTTTACAATTTAGCATAAAATTTTCATTTTTAATGCAGTTTAGTTGCTAGAGATTGGTAAAAATGAATTTTTTCCCTTCTTTTCAACACTTTTTTTTTGTCATAATCAAATGAAAAATGAAATCAAAATGTTGAATAAATTTTACCTCAGTCATTGACAATTTGTGATTCCATATTGTTTAATTATTCAGATTGAGTGTCCAATGTTAATAAATGGAAACAATTTGAAAATTTCCAACTTTTCCTCGTTATCATAATATCGAAACATTTCAACCTAGAAATGAATAATTTTTCTGTTTAACTCACAACTTTCAACTGAAGCTCATTCAAGTTGATCAAATTGATTGCCAAGTTTTGGATCAAATATGGACTTTCGCCAAAGTTCAATCATTACTTTACAATCCTTTCATTATCTTGTCTAATCATGGATGAAAAGTGATGAAGAGAGAAAAGAGTTTGAGAAAAACTTTTACTCTTTATCACTTTTATGTTGATATTTGGGTCACGTCCTTTTGTCCCAATGTCACTCGGAGACTCGGACTCGCTGATAACCAAAAAGTAATGATGAAGAGATTCTAGTGATTGATCTCAATGGACAAATGATGGCTGAAAGATGATGATAATGATGGTAAAAGTGATAAGGAAAGGAAAAGTTAAACGTTAATCAACCTATTGAATCGGTTAATAACAAATCACAATGAGCAAAGGAACCAAACCCAGACAATTATAAGATTCAGATTATTCCCTCAAGAGTCTTTCCTCTTTGTATTATCATAAGGAGAAGAGAAAAAACATTTTTCGATATTATCATATAATTCGTTATGGAGTGCTTCAGGGAGTGATACAAGTAATAAGTTGCACAAGATGATAATGATGGTGATGATTCTGATGATGAAGAGTGGAAAATTGGTTGCAATATAAGTACGCCTTGGGCATTCCATATTCATTGAGAAGCAACTTTTTTTCCGTTTGACCAATTTTTCTTGTCCAATTGTGTTACATTGCCAATAAAATCAACATAAAAATGTAATTCAAGGCAAATGAATTTACGCTCAAAACTCAATCATATTATAATCAGGTTTCAACTTGAATGCATTAGATTTGTTTTTTTACATAAAAAAGGTTCGAGTGAGTCATTTGATTCTTTCATTGTACTTTACTTGGCCCATCAATCCCTTATTATTACCTCAATATCCTCATCATTGTAAAACTAAAAAAAAGATGAAGGCAATTGGATAAAAGAGTCTCAACTGAGTATTTTGCTCATCGATAAATCATTGAAAGTCATTGTTCATTTCAATCAAATTCAAGATCAAGGTTAATTCAAATCAAACTTTTTTACTGCTTTCCATTTAACATAAAAATCTCTAGACTTCAATTATCCATCCTCATCAGTTGATTTCAGTTTCTCTGCTTTTCTCTTTACACAAAAGATCATCTTTCCTTTTCATCTTCATCACTTTTCCCTCAACTTTGAGTTGCAATATTTTTTGCCTTTTGTTTTTCGCTTTCTTTACTTTTCTCTCTTTCTCTTGCCCTTTCATCTTGACACATCATATCATCATCTCGTAATCATATCGACCTTTTTTTACATCATTCAAATGTAAATAAGGTTGAAAAAGAGTCAAAGTTGACAATGGATAATCAGAAAGGTAATCATGATATAAAGTTGTCTGTGAAACATCAAATCAAAGATAAGTTTATCTGGAAATCACAAAAAACACATTTCAAAGCAAATAAACGGAAAGATGAAAAGTTGAAAAGGTAAGGTTAACCAATGGAACAGTTTGCTCCTCTTTTTCCGGTTTACTTTACACTTATTTCAGTTGCCACCTTCGGGTGATCAGATGATTACTACATTGGTTTTCACATCAATTTTGGTGACAAAAAAAGTCAAGAACAATTGGTGAGAAAAATGTAGAGAAAATGTTTCCAAAGATTCACATTTTGAAACACTTGAAGGTTGAGTCAACAATCAATTGGTCATCACTGCAAGTGTGAAAGCAACAGTTTCATTGAAATGGCCACAGTTTAAGTTGTTGGAAAAATTTGTAAGCTTAAAAAGTTTACAACAGCAAAGACACTTTAAGTTTACATTCTGGGTAATTACATTAATTAAAGAAGCTAAGGTTTAAAAATGACATTAATTTTGTTTTAATGGGAATGGTCAAGTGGAAGGATGACAGTTTAAGTACAAAAAGTGTCTCTCCAAAGTGACTACAAGTTTTTACTGTTTAACCCAAAAAATGAATAACTTTGGGTTTAGGGGACAAAGAAGTTGACAGCTTACCAGAACAATGGTTTTCCCATTTTTAATCCACTGAACTGATCCTCCTGGAGTCATCACTGTACATGGTATATGAAGTCTTTCGCCTGGATTAATCAACCTAAATATATTTGATAAATCACTATCAACTGAAGATCCCAAAAGATGTGGACTTTGAATTAATAAAAGTAGAGTTAGATGTTGGATAACAATTAATAAACATTGTTGGACACTTAGTTGATTATTGAGTCGGCAATATGAACTTTGAGGCCACATTAGTATTAATCCAACACAAGATAAAATAAATATCATCTTTATCCTTGTCTCATGACTTGAATACTTTCAGCCAACACTGACAGTAAAAACAAACTCTACTTTCATTTCATCTTTACTCACTCAGCTTTGTTTTCAACTCAATCATTGAACCCATTTTCATAAGAGATGCTGCCCTCTAATGATATCCATTTAAACAAGTCTATCATTCAATATATATTTCTTGTTGCCATCTATCCAAGTGAAAGGGAACCATTCAAAATTATTTAATTTACAATCAAAACTTAATCTATCTTTACTGACAATGTGAGATGTAACCAGGTAGAGAAATTAAAAACGCCCAGTATTTTATCATTAATTTTATAATGATGTAGATCTGTATTCAAGTGAATTGCGAATATACTTTTGTAGTTGTTCATTCAACATTTTATATTTTTGCAATCTGTTCAAAAGCTGCACATCATCTTTTAAATGTCTCAGGCTTCTGATTTCGGTATGTTCTTTTTCTCTTCCTATTCTTATCTAACCTTTATTTAAAATTTTCAGCTTCGGCTTTACGATTTCTTTTATCGTCATTGGAAAGACAGACATCCAAGGTGCCTATCGGACTTTTAATTCGATATTGGGAATGGATGACTGAGACCAAGTTTCCCGGTAAAGAGGGAGGATTGGGTGAAGTGTACAATGTTTTGAAAGGTGTCGACGGGATAACGATATACGATCATTTCTTTGTAACTACACGAAGTGAAAATGATGGTACTTCTACGGATGACATTGATATAAGAATGCTAAGACTGAGTATCAATCAAATGGAATATTTTGGTAAATATCGTTAAATAAAAAATTCAAGTACATTTGCTTTTTTTGTGTGACAAATCAACGGATTTGCAAATTGTATTTCACAAATGAAGTTTATGTGGCCATGATGAATTAAATCGAATTCATTTTGAGTAATAGCATTCAATTTTTTTTATACCGCTAAATGTTATTTTGAATTTTACTATCCAGACAATACTTAAACCACTTCAATTTAAGATTTTGTAGATTTACTCAGACAACCTTCTAGATTACATGTAATATTAAATACAATCAATTACAAAAAAGTTCCTATTGCCAATAAAAGCCAATTATCTGCGTTAACACTAATTGATGACTAAAAAAATTCAATCCAAAACTAGTAATCAACTTCATTCCCCCAATTAGGTGCGTGAAAGGATTGACATAACTGTGATTCAATCATACTTTTTGAACCTTGATAAATTGTAAGCTAAAAATTAATTCTTAATTGATCAAAACCAAAACCAACCATCAATAGAAGTTTTCAATGTGATAGTGAGTTTAAAGGATATAATAAAATTACCATGATCCATTATTTTGGCAGCCAATAAAAATTTTCAAACGGTTAAGCTGTTCGAGTATTTTTATGGAAAGTTCCCTATTGCAAGTTTAATTGAAATATTGATAACTTAATAAATGCAATGTTTGCTATTGCGGAAGTCAAGTTATATTAATATTTAATAGATACAATATGGTTATACAAAATAACCATTAATATGGCAACGATAAAATCAATAAGAAGATTGAGCACTTGTCAAATAAACCATGTTAGCAGCAACCTGTTGTTGCCGCAATCCCTCGCTATAAACGATTGAACAATAATCGACTCAATGGATTGTCAGCGGTTCGAATTGCAATTTTGCTAGGTTGAGCTTGAGCTTGCTGAAAATTTAATGAATCATAAGTCAAATCTTCATCAAAAAACGGACTAACAATGGTTGCTTGGTTGAAACATAAGAAGATTGTGGGCAAATAATAGATTCAGGAATTGAAATTGGACTCTCTTGGATTGGATTTTCTTGACTTTGATTTTCCTCGGTTTGATTCTCTGAATTCGGATTTTCTGAAACTTGTTCTGGCTCTTTAGTGCCTGTAAGAGTATCTTGTGGTTGAACTGGACCCAGGATTTGATAATATTTGCTCAGCAATTGTTGTTGGTGCTTCAGCTGTAGATGTAGTTGTGCTTGAATTTGTGAATTTAATGAAACAGCTTATGAACTGACTAATTTACAGATAGCTTGAGGACGCAATCTTTGTTGTCGAACTGAAGCTCTAGCAGCAGCAACAGGAGCAACCCGAGACGACGAACTTTTATTGAAGAAACTCGAAATTTTGATGGAGCCAGAGAAGCTAAAACGATTGATTGAGGTGTTGGTGTTGCACTTGTACTGGTTGTTGATGGAACTGCTCCAAATGTGAATTTAGTCGTAGTTGTACAAAGTAATGAAAGAACTTGTGAGTAATTTCAGAATAGCTTGAGAACGCAATCCTTGTACTGGTTGTTGATGGAACTTTGGGTCGAGTTGGAGCAGTTGTAGTGAAAGTTTTTTGAACTGCTCGCTAGAAGAGGTTGAACCACTTTAGAGGCGACCATTGCTGGAGTAGCTTCAGTTAAGTGATAAATGCTTGCTAGAAGCTCTTTATTTGAGTCACCAAGTCCAGGTTCATTCGCTCTGATTGCAGCTCGGAATCCATTTTCATCAGCAATATATTCAACAGAACGGAACAATCCAGCATCTCGATAACTGTATGAACCTCTAACAGCTCATTTGGCATCACTAGACTCTTGTCAAGCTACAAATTGGTTCTTGTAATTGGTTACCGTGGAAATTAAATGATCACGGAAATAAACAAAACCAAAGTGGAAATGATTTTGATTTTTTTTAAACAATGTTCTGTTCTCAATTTTGAGTCAACGAAAGATTGACACAATTTATGAAGATGAGATGTTAGGATGACCTGGTCATTTTGAAAGTGGGAAGACGTTTTAATGTGAAATGTTGATGGAGATGATCAAAAAAGTAGATGTTGATCAAGTGAAAGTAGTAAATAAGATCAAGCCAGGCTAAAGTGAAACAGATAGAAAACAAAATCTTGTTGAATTACTAGAGCATTGGTTGAGCAAAGATTGAAAGATTGATGGGATTTTCAAGAACTGTCAACTGAACATTTAAAGCTATGAAAAATAAATTGACTGCTATTACTAAAAATTAATACGATTTAATTCATCATGGGCACATAAAATTTTATGCATGAAGTACAATCAAGTATTGAAAATCAGTTGATTCGTCACAGAATAAAGAAAGATGTACTTGAATTTTTTACTTAACATTATTTATGCTACCATTATATTCCAGGTGATTGATATTCAGATTTTAGCATCTTTAATTCAATGTGATCCGCAACAGCATTTTGTTGTCGTAAAGTTACAAAGAAATGATCGTATATCCTTATTCCATCGACACGATTTAAAACCTTATGCACCTCATCCAATCCTAGGTCTTTAGAGGGAAACTTGGTCTCAGTCATCCATTCCCAAGATCGAATTAAAGCTCCAATAGTCACTTTTCGCGTCTGTCTTACCAAAGAATTTAAAAGAAGTCGCAAAGCCGAATCTGAAAATTTTAAATAAAGATTAGATAAGAATATAAAGTAGAAAAAAACATACCGAAATCGGGATAATGAGCCATTTAAACTATGAACTATGGAGTGTATCTTTTGAACAGATTGCAAAAAAATATGATGAGAAACAAAAGTCGGAGGAGCAAGTAACTGCAAAAGTATATTGACAATTCACTTAAATACAGAGCTTACAGCATTATAAACTTAATGATAAAATACAAGACGTTTTTATTTTCCCTACATGGCCACACCTCAGTAAAGAAAGAGAAAGTTTTTGGGGAAATGAAGATGATTACTAGTTTTGAATTAAACTTTTAAACTTTTTTAGTCATCAATTAGTGTTAACGCAGATAAACAAACCATTATTGGCTTTTATTGGCAATAGGAAATTTTTGTAATTGATTGTATTTAATATTACATGCAGTTATCAAAATTGTTTGAGTAAATCTACAAAATCTTAAATTACATCAAGTAAAGAAAGAGTAAGTTTTGATCGTAAATTAAATAATTTCGAATGGTTCACTTTCACTTGGATAGATGGCAACAAGAATAAAATATTGAATAATAGACTTGTTTGAATGGTTACCATTAGAGGGCAGCATCTCTTTTGAAAATGGGTTCAATGATTGAGTTGAAAACAAAGCTGACTGACAAGGGAACCTTGCGAACTGTTAATCGCCGAATTGAATGAAACCTATCTCATCGTGTAGAGCATCATTGATAATGAAAAAGTGAAACGTGATTTTTCTGCCTAAACCCTATTGCCGGTACAATGAGCGATCAAAGCTCGAAATATGCGTTTGTATTGCGTTTGTATTGATGCAAGGGATTTTTGAATTTCTTTCAAATTGCATAAAATATGTTTCATCGTGTAGAGCACCTTCGATCACGAAAAAGTGAAGTTCAATTTCTCTGCCTCAAGCTTGTTTTTAATGCAATCAGCGATCAAAGTTCGATGGAGTCACAATCGTAGTAATGGTAGTGAAGATGATGATTTGGCCCCGGAAATAAGATTTATATAGAAAAACTGTGCTTCTTTTTTTCATAATCGAAGGTGCTCTACAAGATGCAATATGTTTGGTGAAATTCAAAAGAGATTCAGAAATCACACTTGCATTGATATTGGCACATTTCTCGAAATTTGATCGCTCACTGTACCGGAAATAAGCTTTAGGCAGAAAAATCACGTTTCACTTTTTCATTATCAATGATGCTCTACACGATGAGATAGGTTTCATTCAATTCGGCGATTAACAGTTCGCAAGGTTCCCTTGTGAGTAAAGATGAAATGAAATGAGAGTTTGTTTTTACTGTCAGTTTGGCTGAAAGTACTCAATAGTGTTTCTTGATATTTTTTTCTGGCATGGGTCGAAAGGAAAGATATTTTTAAGTAAAATATCGATTATATCGTTCGATACTTGTACTTCCTTTGATTAGCTTTTCATAATTTTTGCGAGTTTGGCTCTGGCTACTTTTGAAATTAGTCAACAAAAGATTACTGGAGATGAGAGTACATCGAGTTCAGATAGCCAATCCACGGAATCGTCATTAAGATCAAATGAATCTACAACTTCATCGCCTTCACCTTATGCATTTTCATATAATACAGCTGATGTTGCTGGTAACCAATTAGCTCGACAAGAGTCTGGTGATAACAAAGGAGCTGTTAGAGGTTCATACAGTTATCGAGATGCTGACGGATTTTTCCGTTCTGTTGAATATATTGCTGATGAAAACGGATTCCGAGTTGCAATAAGATCAAATGAACCTGGACTTGGTGATTCAAATAAAGAGCTTTCAGCAAGCATTTATCTCCAAACTGAAGCTACTCCAGCAAGGGTCGCTTTTAAAGTCGAACGTCAGTTCCATCAAAAACCAGTACAAGTGCAACATCAACACCTCAATCAGTCGTTTTAGCTTCTTTGACTCCATCAAAAGTTCGAGTTTAGCCAATAAAAATTCTTTGTCTCGAATTGCTCCAATTAACTCAGTTCGACAAGCTATTTCGTGTTTAGCCAGTTCACACGTTCTTTCATTTCCTTCAACAACACCTTCAAAAGATTTAATTTACAATCAAAATTTACTTCATATAATTTCAGATTTAAAGATTTACTCAAAACGACTGATACACTTTTTGGCCTACCATTTTAAAACTAATCATTAACTCGATCAAATCATCATACAATGTAATCATGTAATCTTTTTTTGAAAGACAAAGATTGAAAGATTGAAATGGTTTATTGAGTATCGAGTAATGCATATATAAATTCAAAATAACTTTCAATGGCAAAAAGGAAATAAACGGAATATTATCACTCAAAATTAATTTGCTTTAATGCATCAATCATGTATACATAAAGTTCTATGACTTACAATGAAATGTTGAAAATAAGTTGGTCTGGCTCACCGTAATTAAAGATGTGGCTATCAATTTTTTCCTAAACTCTCTAGTTCATTGATTTGTTTTCTTAGTTGCTTCAAATCAATGGAATCAGCTTCCCTTCGTTCTTTTAAAGTTACAAAGAAATAATCGTATCTCTTTACTCCGGGGATAAGCGATACTGCCAGGTACTGTCTTCCTTCATCCTTAAAAGGGAACTCGACCCCAGTCAACCATTCCCAATGTCGAATTAAAACTCCAACAGGCACCTTTTCTAACTGCTCTTCCAATGACGATAAAAGAAATCGCACAGACGCTTCTACGAATTCCAAAATAAATTTAGATAAGAATATAAAAAAGGTGAAACTTACGGAAATTGGGAAAATTAGACATTACAAAACGGTATCACCTTTTGCACAGGTAACAAAACTGTCAATATAATAAGAAGACAATGTTAATGACTGAAGAAAAAGTAACTTCAAAAGTATATGTCCGATTCACTTAAATACAAAACTCACATCATTACGAATTAATGATGAAATATAAATTCATCTAATCAATTAAGGAAATTTTCCATCTTGAGTTAAAAGCACAATAATGTCTTGTTTATCTACGGTATTGATAATTATTAATTAAAAAACTCAATTCAAGGCGGCAAAGCTTCTTTATATAATCAATCTCAAGCGAAAGTACTCCAAGAGATCCGCAAAGTAACCGAAAGTCAAGCTCAGAATGCAGACCTTAAATTAGCTATCTAAAACGGTTTCAATGAGTTTGCAACGGTCAACAATGGTTGTAATTGTTAGACCCATTGGTAAAACTAATGTTTTTGGTTTATAGTTCATCCAATTCCAATTGAATAGCGTGTAATGATTAAGTCAAAAACCAAGCAAAGATGAAAGTAGAGTTTGTTTTTACTGTCAGTGTTGGCTGAAAGTATTCAAGTCATGAGACAAGGATAAAGATGATATTTATTTTATCTTGTGTTGGATTAATACTAATGTGGCCTCAAAGTTGAAGTCTCAAAACTCAAAATTGAGAACAGATATAAATGTTTAAAAAAATTGCAATCACTTTCACTTTGGTTTTGTTTATTTCCGTGATCATTTAATTTCCAATTGGATCAACAGTAAACAACAAAAAATTATATTTATTTGTGCCAATGGATCTAACAATGTTTAAGGTAAGTTTGCTTTTTGTTTCAATGTTTACAATTTATTTGTTATTCATTGATTTTTCGATTTTGAGCGTTCAATCATTCATTAAAATTTTAAAAATGTCTTAATTTAGTGATTTTAAGGCAATCATATTTATTAATATCAGCCTAAGACTCAGGTTTATCAATTCATTTAAATTCATTTTCCCTTCTCCTTTGCTTAGCTTTTCATAATTTTTGCGAGTTTGGCTCTGGCTACTTGTGAAATTAGTCAACAAAAGATTACTGGAGATGAGAGTGCATCCAGTTCAGATAGCCAATCCACAGAATCTTCATTAAAATCAAGTGAATCTACAACTTCATCGCCTTCACCTTATGCATTTTCATATAATACAGCTGATGTTGCTGGTAACCAATTAGCTCGACAAGAGTCTGGTGATAACAAAGGAGCTGTTAGAGGTTCATACAGTTATCGAGATGAAGATGGATTGTTCCGTTCTGTTGAATATATTGCTGATGAAAATGGATTCCGAGCTGCAATCAGAGCGAATGAACCTGGACTTGGTGATTCAAATAAAGAGCTTCTAGCAAGCATTTATCACTTAACTGAAGCTACTCCAGCAATGGTCGCCTCTAAAGCGGCTCAACCTCTTCTAGCGAGCAGTTCAAAAAACTTTCATTACAACTGCTCCAACTCGACCCAAAGTTCCATCAACAACCAGTACAAGGATTGCGTTCTCAAGCTATTCTGAAATTAGTCAGCTCACAAGTTCTTTCATAAACGACTAAATTCACATTTGGAGCAATTACATCAACAACCAATACAAGTCCAACAACAGCACCTCAATCAGTCGTTTTGGCTTCTCTTGGTCCATCAAAAGTTCGAGTTTCTCCAATAAAAAATTCTTTGTACAGGCTTGCTCCTGTTGCTGCTGCCAGAGCTTCAGTTCGACAACAAAGATTGCGTCCTCAAGCTATTTCAAGATTAGTCAGTTCACAAGTTCTTTCATTACCTTCAACAACACCAACCACAACTACGACTACAACTACAACTTCAGCTGAGGCACCAAGAAAAATTGCTGAGCAGATATCGAACGATTGTCCAGTTCAAACACAAGATACTTTTACAGGTACTAGAGCGCGATTATTTATTTGAACCTATAGCACTGTTTATTATATGTGTCCGTATAACTAGACTCTCATCAAAAATCTTGTGGTTAACTACAAACTATTATTTACAGTGACAGATTAGCTGGACAAAATTCTACTGATTCTGACTGACGCACTAAAACGAAACAACTGTTGCTTTCGAAACTACCACTGTGTTTATTTATTTGATGATGAATTGAACCTGAAGATGAATATAACCATTCGAGTACCGTATCGGCGCACATAATTTCACGGTGATTCAAAATGGGCTCGCTCAAATAACAGCACTTTTGCTGCCCATTTAGACACTCATGAGCTATTATTAATGATCACCATGAGCTTTTTCTCGACCGATTAACAGAGAAAAAATTTGATCTTGTGAATGCATTTCTATTAGTGAATTGAAAAATTCAAAATAATAATCAAAATTTCTCTATTCACCGACAATTTCGATTCTACAAATTTTTCTTTTTCTAAGTTAACGTATGCTCAGTAACTAAAATTCTCACTTATTACGAGCGAGTTCGATCTGAGGCACCGTGACATTATGTGCGCCGATACGGTAATTTACACTATAACTATTACTATTTTTACACAGAAAACTTTAATTTTATTTTAACCAATTAATTAGATGCCACATAAAACTCTTCTATTGATAGTTCATTTTATATTTTGCCCAACTTAACCCCATTTAAAATTGGCAAGTTATAGCAAATTAGAAAACATTTATAGCTTTATTGTGAATTTTAATGCAAGTGTAATTTTCCTTGTCAATCTTTTTTTACCGTGATTAGCGAAGCAAAGTTACTTGTTAACTTTAATTGAACTTTTTTATTCAATGATTACTATTATATAATAGTAAAATATCGTTATTGCGTTTTGATTGAGAATGGAAAATTTTTTGCGATTTATTGCATTCAACATTACGATAATTATTTCACTAATGATACGAGTTTTGTATTTAAGTGAATCATTCATTTCGCAGTTAGTCTTTGTTTCGACATATTCTACATCAGTTCGGTTCTTTCATAGTTAGTTTCATCTTTCATTTCAGTTTTAGTAAAAACACTCCATTTTACAAATGGCTTCTACCTTTGGTAAGTTGCTATATTAAAAATAATTCTCAGTAAGTTTTATTCTTAATTAAGTTTTTCCTATAATTACAGAGTCATCAATACGGTTTCTCTTATCGTCACTGGAATGGTAGGCTGGAATGGAAGGCAAGTTAACTATTGGAATGTTAATCAGATACTGGGAGTGGTTAACTGCAATCGCGTTTCCCGGCAAGGACGAAGGCTTGATGGCGATGCACCTTAAGTTATCAAGTGTCGATGGAGTTGTTATATATGATAATTTCTTTGCAAAATTACAGAGCCATATTGCTATCGATGGAAATTTCAATGGAATGCGAATAGGTTGCAAATATCTACATGTTGACAGACAAATTGAAGCTCATTATAAACGGACTGGTAGATTACCAACGGAATTAGCTGAAGAATAGTACAAGTCTTAATCCCGCTAGCCGTCTACAAACTTTTTATTATACATACATTATATATAGCTGTATATTGTTGTAAGATAAAAAAGATTCCTTGAATTAAACCAACATATGGATACATAGAGCATTTAGAAATGCATACATAGATATATTGAAAAGACTAACAATGCATAATGCATATTACAGATTACACTATATTGAAATCACGTTATAAATAATTTATGTTAAAAATCAACAGCAATAATCTATTTTATTGATTTGACTTTTTAGCTTTCAAATATCGATGAATTTCCACTCACTAGCAATAAGTGTTGTAGTTTTAGATCATGGTCATAGATCGTGACTACAGCAACATCAAATAACTTAGAATGCATTGCTGTCAAGCCTTGATTCTTATCGGAGAAAGTTGCAGCACTCAGCCATTCCCAATTGCGGATCAGCATTCCAATGCCTTCCACTCCAACTGGCCATTCTTATGACGATAGAAGAAGTCGTATAGATGAATCTGTCTAATTAGAATGTAAAATAATAGAACTCTATCACAGATATAACTTACTAAGAAGGGAAAGACAACAAATTACCAAAAAATAAGACATTTGAAATATGGAGGTAATTTTTGATATGACTCAAAAAGCATAGAACAGAAACAGTTCGCACCAGAAAGTTAAATAAGTATGTGCGAAGAGTATGTCAGAACTAGGAACTGCTAGTAACTGCAAAATATATGCTTATATGCTTGGGTTTTTGCAATGTACCGCTTGTTTAAATGTTGCTTCACAATTTGCACATTTGTAGCGGATAGAATGTTTGAACTTCTTGAGCTTCCTTCTCGAGCTTAGAAAGTGGAGTGCCTTTACTGACAAGCGCCCATGGAAGTTGGTTTCCTCAGTCACATCCTCAGGTGTGTCGAGATCACAGCCACGGACGCGATCCTTAACAAATCGAACCACAAAGTGTCGTTGATCATCTGGATCATAGGCCCAACTTTCTGTCGAGCAGCGCCATTCGCTGCAGTAATCAGCAACTCGGACTGTTTGAGCGCCAGATGGTTGGTCGTCTTCAGTTTGAACATTTTCCTGCTCAGAATCAGAAATTTTTTTAGATAATAAAGAAGAGATAAAAATGAAACATTCATAATAATTAAAAAACAATGATTATTCTTACTAACCGTTTTCAGACAGAGACATGGTGAAAAAAGTAGTTATAGTTGTTTGGATGATACTTTTTTATGATGAATCACTTGTTATGATGAAGTTTCAGTTTAAATACTCTCAAACTCTCTAACCTGTTTGAACATCATGTAATCAAACGCCTTATTTGCAAGCTTGGTCTACATCATTGAACAAACCCAGCTCGTAAATAAAGAATTATCAGCAAGTATTTTTTGAACAAAAAGTATCCAATCATACGCTTACTTTGAATCTTAACCTAAACCGTGATAATTTAAAAGGGAAAAACCTAGTTCATGCATAATGATTAACAATAAGCATCTCTTTGAACAAAATGCAATCAATCAAATACTTTATTTGGAACATTAAGCTAGAAAAGGACAAAAATCCAGCTCGTGAATAAAGAATTACCATAACATGTAACGAATTCTTAATAACTGCCTGAGGTATTTATGATAACGCTTCATAGACATCATGAAAGATGATATATTGTTGCCTGAAAGAAGGTCAACATTCGTTTCCCTTCTTTCAGGCAAAAATCATGTCGAAAAATAGACATTGAAAGATGGTGTTATTAACAATTCGTCGTTGAAAGACAGTGTTAATCGTATTTGTCCTCAGGATAAAAAATGTCGTTGAAAGATGGTGTGAATTGTAAACATAAATGACCTTCAAAAATTCGATAAAGATGGTGTTCGATCGGAAGTGCCTCAGGGTATAAAATAGCCGTTGAAAGACGGTGGGTCAGTGACTGAGGGGGTCGCGCGAGTTTTTCCCCTATTCCGTTTCCGTTCTGTGGCACAGAGGCGTATGTTTCTATATTACTATCGTTTGCCCTGTTAATGGTTATTTTGCATAACCATATTTTTGAATATTGGAAGTACTATGCCTTGACATTGTAAAACATTGCATTTATTATTAAGTTGTTTCAATTGTATTTGTGATAGCAAATTTTCCACTTAAAAAAAATCTGAATACAAGTAAAGCTACTACTTTGGATTTGAATATTAAGTCGAATCCGAGTAAAAGATTTTTTCTTCCAACATTAATAAAAACTTCCATCTAGTGATCAATCAAAAAACAAATCATTCTAAACCTTTTGCCATCTATTGCTAAGAAGGAGCGTTTATCGCTACCCTTTTGCAATTCATGTTCAATCGATAAAATTTGTCTTGATAAGTATCACTAGAGGACAGCATCTCTTATGAAAATGGGGGATAAGGTTCCGAAAACGGTCCCATCTTCAAACTTGTTGAAACTCGATAGTAATATGTTATTTGACCTGAACTTTTCGAAAATCATCGATTTTTTTGCGCATGCGCAAAAAATTTCAATTTTTGTTTTTTGATGTTTGTGAATTTCTTGAACAGTTTTCAAGCTCAGGATTCAGAGAAGCTAACCTTATCGAACACAACTTGTTGATTGGTACAAAATCACGTTGTATAGATACGTGAAAACAATAAAATTACACAACTCTCGATTTCTAGGTCAATATCATGTCTGGTTGCAAAGTATTGGCGTTCAACATGATAATCCCTGTAACATGTATCAAATTTCTGATCTGATTTGATAAACATTCGCTTATTTATCACCACAGCGAGTGTTTTAAGTAACGATCAATATGTATTACTTGTGAAGGAACTTAATACGATGTGTTTACAAGTTCCTCCTGACGCGCTTACCATTTAACTAGGAGATTTTAATGCTTATCATTCTACCCGGTCTGACGAGAACTGTAGAAACAGCCGTAAACGAAACAAAGTTGAGGTTCTGAAACATTTTGCTGAAAAAGCTGGACTTTCATTTTGCATGAGTATAAAAAAGAAATTGCAATCAAATTTTAGTTTTATGAAGATGGTTTTAATCAAATTTGATTTCCAATGTTAACAAAATTTTCTGAATATTTTTATTTTTCAATTCACAACTCTTTAGTATTTTAATTTTAAATTTTTTAATCAATTACCATCGGCTGGCCTTTGTGGTAAGCCGTTATAAACGGTCTTAATATGAGACACTAATGTCTTGAAGGGATCTGATCCCACTATTTTTGTTTGTCGGCGCCATAGGAATTCGCACATATGCAAATCAAAGTCTTCTCTCCTCACTCCTCCACGACCTAACCGCTTCCTTAGTGACCTCCAACTTGACTCGATATTTTGAGTGTAGGCTCCGGAGGTTGGATCAACAAAATTCTCACTATGGTTGACGGTTAGGTGAGTGTAGCCGTAACTCGAAAGATTGTAATAACCTCTCCAAAGGTCAGTGTGAATCTCAGTACCCTGAGCCACGTGCTTTTGTATCAGCGGGAGAAGTGCCTCTTCGCTACGGCAATTGTTTGGGCAGATTTCGAGGCGATACTCTTATTGCCATTTCGCTCGATCATCCCTAAGATCCAATGGCCTTCCACCATCCTGCCTACGTTAAATTTACGTTTGCCGATTTTACATTCATCGATTTCAACGATGATGCCTGGTCCTCCAATTGGCCCTTGATCCGCATATAAGGCATCCAACGCTGCCATACAAACTTCTCTCGCATACGAGAAAACATCAGCAACTGTTTCACGTGAAACAGTACTATTCAAAATACTTGTTTCATTAATAGTTTGTTGGAAGGAGAAGCCAGCAGAAAAGCAGTAAGTTATTATAAGACGTTGTCTTAT